TGGCAGGCTTGCACCTGGCACGGGCACCGTAGCCAGCCCGTGCCCCTTTAAGGGGTCCGGGGCCGGGAGGGGGGCATAGAGTTTCCCTGGTGTTGGCCAGAGTGGCCACCAGGGAAACCTCGCGAGGGCTAGCCTCCTACTAGTTCGAATTAAGGGGCTACACACCCCTTAATTCGAACTAGCTAGTTCGAACTAGGCTTAATCCTCGTAAAATGAGGTTTTCCTAGTTCAAACTAAGCGCTCCGCTAGTTCGATTTAAATTCGAACTAACGGAGCGCTAGTGTAGCGCCTATGAAAGTTAGTTCGAACTAACGTCCGTTAGTTCGAACTAACTTTGTAATGTAGACATACCCTAACAGATTTATTAGGGCATAAACTTTTGTGGGTAAAATCCACTTAATCAGATGAATTGGAGTGGAGTTTACAGAAACATGGGTGTGTGGATTTGTGTGTATATATATAAAAATAAAGAGGGTCGAGGAGACCTGTGACACCTTATAAACTAACCGAAGTGTTGGAGCCTAAGTTTTCGTGGGCAAAGACCCACTTCGTCAGATGCATGTAGTGGAAATTTCCAGAGGCAGGGTATAAATATGCAGGCCAGAATCAGGCTGGAGATGACGAGGTGGATCCAATCAGGGAGGATGAGGCCCACTTCTAGTAGCTGATCCGGAGGTGTGAATTCCAAGAGAGGAGAAGCTAAGACTGTGAATGGCTAGCTAACTACAAAAGCAGCTTAGTCTATAAGGTGCCACAGGACTCCTCGCTGCTTTTGCAGATTCAGACTAACACGGCTATCCCTCTGATACTTGAAAATAAAGAGGGTAGTTGTGTAAATGAGGCTAATCAAGTCAGGATGGAATTAGCCTATTCACAATGGTAAATATGCAAATGTGGATATCAAGAGAGCGGAAATTGCCTTTGTAATTTGTTAAGATCCTTATTCAATCCTAAATTGATAGTATTGAATTTGCAAAGGAATTTCTTTCAGATAACTCCCTTTGTAATTGGGTTTTGAAATTCTTTTGTAGAAGAATGACTACTTTTAAATCCATTATTGAATGTCAAGGATAGTTAAAGTGTTCACCTACCAGTTTATGTATGTTACTGTTCCTGATGTCTGATTTGTGTCCATTTATCCTTTGGCATAGAGACTGTCCACTTTGGCCACTACATGGCAGAAGGGCATTGCTGGCACATGGTGACATATATCACATTAGTGGATGTGCAGGTGGATGAGCCTCTGAGGCTACATCTAGACTGCAGACTTCTTTTGGAAGAAGCTTTTCCAGAAGAGATCTTCCAAAAAAACATATTCTGAAAGTAAGTGTCCACACTGCCAAAGTGCATTGAAAAAGCAATCTGCTTTTTCGAAAGATAGCATCAACACTGAATGGACGCTATCTCCATTTAAGCTGTGGTTACTATGGACCGAGTATCCACCAGGGCACCTGTGCTTTTTCCTCTTCCCTCTTTTTTCGAAAGAACTCCCTCTTCCCTGTCCATACACGCCTTTTTCCAAAAGAGTTTTTTTGGAAAAAGGCTTCTTCCTCGTAGAAAGAGAATTACCAATACTGGAAAAACCCCTCGGTTCTTTCGATTTAGTTTTGGAAAAACACAATTGCAGTGTGGACATAACTCAGGTTTTGTCGGAAAAACAGCCATTTTTCTGACAAAACTCTGTAGTGTAGACATACCCTTCAGCAGCACTGCTATGGGTAACTGCATGGCCTCACAATGTGCCAAAATTTGTATGGCTCTTTCAGAAAAAGGTGCGTGGGGACGGGGAAGAGGGAGTTCTTTCAAAAGAAGAGGGAAGAGGGAAAAGCACAAGTTTCCTGATAGCCACTCCGTCCATAGTCTATATCTATTTTATTAGTAATCCTCCTCCACTTTTCACACAGTGACAGATCACCGGTTTTAGGGAGTTTCACTAGCAGCCCTTTTCTCCAGTCCTTTGGAACCTCTTCTGTTGTCCATATCAGATTTAGCAAACTGTGTAGCTGGTCCACTATAGCAGCTCCTCCTTCTTTTAGTGCTTCAGGGTATGTCTACACTACCCCGCTAGTTCGAACTAGCGGGGTAATGTATGCATACCGCACTTGCTAATGAAGCCCGGGATTTGAATTTCCCGGGCTTCATTAGCATAAGCGGGGAGCCG